ACTTAAATTAACATTATTAAACTAATAATATTGTAAAACTATTTATAACTATATCTAGTTAATCTCTTTTGTTGATTTTTTTTGATGCAAGCCTCTCTATAATATCTGCTTTTTGCAACCTTGAAACCCTTTTTTATGTCATTCCTATAATTTTCTTCACTTAGGACTTCAGTATCTGCAGCTTCTGTAATATAATGCAATATTAGACAATGTGTATGTTGTTTAATTTTAACAAAACTACTAACTGAAAAAAATATGCACTAATGACAATTTTAAATATAATTCCATACAGGTATAAAAGTATACTTACAATTGTTTTGTTACAATTTTTACGTACAATTTTCCACTGTTTTGCACTATTATTTAATATTTATGGTTCAGTTGTCTTTTCGTTTATTTTAATTAGTTTATTTAATCATTTAATAAGTTTATATATTTTTATTACTTTTAATAAGCACTATTTATAAATTATTTCACTCGCGATCAGCTTACTTTCGAATTCACGAATGGACTAATTTTGTTAGAATTTCATAACTTGCAATAACTTAACTTAACAAAGAAGAGACATTAGTCTAGACTACACCGAAATAAAGCAAAGGTAGGCTAAAATAAAAAAAAACCGATATATTTAAAAACAAAACATGCAAATATGATTTGAACACCGCTTGCGTGTACGCAATGCGCATCAACTCCTTTAGTGACGCCTTCTTAGTAAAGGCCTTTTTAAAGTACTTTAACAAAAGGCATGTGAATTTCATTACACCTTCTGATGGAGTGCTTTTAAAAGGCCTTTTTTTTGACAAGGCCTTGAGTATTCTGCTAATGGGGTTGGTTAACTAAGGCAAATTGTTGTTGGAAACTTCGAGCATTGATTAATACTACATTCGCACATGTAGCAGTACGTAAATCAAAAATGTGAACTATAGAGAGAAATCAAAAACAATTTCTACACAACCAATGCAAAAACTCCGCGTTCCTCTTGAAAGGCCTAATGTGTGTAGAAATAAAATCGCTTGAGTTGAGAAGTCCTCTTGTATTTAGTGTTCTTGATATAAATCACACAAGCACCCAAACTAGGAATATGAATAGAAAATATAGCAACAATTTCTATACTATATCACACATACATTCTCATACGCACATTCAACAGCTCTTTCGTGTGTTTCGAACACTTAAGATCATTGTGTTATACGCTGCTTTGGTTTGTCTTAAGTGTTCTACAATTCAAAGCTGATTGTGCTTTTAGCTGGCTACTCGAGCTGGCTAACATGAAATGAAAGGGAGTAATTTTTTTGTTCTGCATTCGCAATCTGTCTGTCTGTGTTATTTGTCTGTGGTGTTACAAACTTATTCCTATTGGATTATGTAAATATAAATTTTTCCCTATTTATTATTATTTATTATTGTTTTATAATATAAGATTAAAATAATATAATAAATATATGTTATAAAAATTCAAAATGCTTCAAAAATTGCTACTTTTGCGTATAATTGTGTTTAATTTTTTTTTTAAGAATAATTGTTAATTTTTTATATTGTAACTTTGTTGTTTCTTTGGTTAAAATAAATCAGGAAATAAAAATGAATTTGAGTAGAAATTAAAAAAGTTATGCGTAATATAAGAATAATTTTGTGAATATCCGTAGACTTTTTCTGCTATGTGTATGTATATTGATATGAGGTTTGTATATTGGGTGTTGAGTAAACACCGGCAGTAGCCGAACCATAGTTGTTGTTAGTGCAAATGGTATTATGTGTATGTAGTGAAGACAGTACTATGACCTGTACTAGCCATGATAACATGAAGTATGTTAATAAACACCATGTTGTTAAATATCTATTTATGTGTTATATTTTACTATACAAATAATTAAATACACAAGTATTTTTCAGCCTGATTTATGCACTTTTACATGCGCTCAAATCAATTGTCGAAGCACCTTTTCCACACCGATTGGGACACCTCCAAAACATGGTTTTTGAACGCTTCAACGGCATCTTCTGGCGACGGAAATCGTTGACCACGCATTTTTTTTCTTGTTTTTTCTTGATGTGCGTTAATTCCCATTAATTCGACGTTTTGGCTGGTCAAAAAGGCGCTGCTTTGAGCCGATGTGTGAGAGCTCGCGTTGTCATGGTGAATAATACTTCATCTTCTCTTGTTCGTTTTTCGAATTTCTACGAAGGCTTCAGGCAAACAAATTGTGTTGTACCACTCAGAAGTGACCGTTCTTCGTTGCTCAAGCGGAACAGTCGCCACATGACCAGATTTGCCGAAGAAACAGGCGACCATTTGCTTCGAAGTGCTTCTTCCACGAACAACTTTCGTTGGATATGGCTCGTCTTTGAAGACCCACGCGGTCGATTGATTGTTGATTCGTCACCTGTGACCATGTTATAAACGTCTTTTGAAGCACCGCGAACATATTTTTTCAACATTTCTTTGCACCAATCGACACGAGTCTTTTTTTGAGCGATTGTCAAATTGTGCGGCATCAAAATTGTCTGGCACAACGGCCGTTTTTGTACGACCTTCACGGAATTCGTCGCTGAGCGAGTGTCTGTCACGATTGAAGTCATTAAATCAGTTTTTCACAGTGCTATAGGATGATGCTTCATCGCCTTACAAAGATTTAAATTCATCAATGCACTCCTGTCAATGCACTCACGTCGAAAGTTGTAAAAACTGATTGCACAAAAATGTTCACGTGTTAATTCCATTTTTTGTCCGAGATGAATTTTTCAAGTCTCTGTAAATAGAACAATTAACAATTAAATGACAACACGTTCTGAGTGATGTTATATTAAAAAATGGCAACCTTTCTCACGGAAATGTCAGATTGCACCTGGCAATACTTAGTGCTGCCTAGGCCAGAAATATATATAGCAGCCCTCGTAAAAAGCGATTATCTATCCTTTTGATTTATTATTATATGGATCACAATGCACACATAAAGCCTTTAAAGATAATAAAACAAACTTTCATTTGCAAAACAAATCATTATCATGTTACGTGCACGCGTTTTGAGTTTAAGGACTATTTTTCATGAGCAGACTGGATGTCATTCTAATATCCCCTGAGCAATCTTTGAAGATATAAGGAAACCTACTCCATTGACATGAGCAAATCCTTCTGGTTTGCCTGAATAAATAAACAAATTATCTTTGTGTTTGATCGAGCCATTTCTATTCTCACTGAATTCTTATATCGCCAAACGTCGCTTTTGTAGCCATCTCGTTTCCAAGTTGTTCGAGTTTACCAGCCTCATTTAAAGTGCGTACATTCCATGTTGCGACAGATGTTATGCCTATTGGGCATCATTCATCAATACGATTCAAATTTGTTATGTTGTAGGTTTTATTGATCTCTAAACTCGATTGCTCGAATGTCGGAGAAGTTGTTCCCATTTCGTTTGACTTTTGTTTGAAGTAGTAGTTTTTTTGATTGTATGCACGGGTTCACATAAGCGGTGGATGATGGGTCCATGACCCATCCAGATTCCGACGTGGTACACGTTTATATAGCGATCCGCTTACTACAAGTCCGGTCACCACTTACAGCCTCAGCTTACATGGTGAACATACGCTGAAATACAGACATCATTAGAAACTCGAAATCGTTGATCATATTATAGTTAATTCGTCCGCTGCCTTGAATTCTAAGCTGCTTTTGTTTGATGACGAAGTTTACCTATTTGCTCCGTGGGAGGTATTTTATTTCCCTTCCACCATCCATATCTAAAACACATTCCGCTATCCGCCACCTGGGACGCGTCCTCAATGGATGTTAGACTCTTCCGAGGAAGTAAAAAAATTAATTAACTTTAAAAGTGAAGATGTCCTTCAGATCTAAATCTAATTTAATAATTCTTACCGATATGCCATTTCAGTTTAAGAGACTGCAATTCCCAATTCAATTGGTGAATTGTGGAGCTCAGTCCAATGTTTAGGATAGCGTGGTTTCAATTTTGACACGGATTATCTTCTACCTGAACAATTACGTGTTCAACCTATATCTACACAGACAATGGATGAATAAAATCTAATGTACATACTGTACAAAATTTGAAAATGATAGTAAAACGTGCTTTCTGATTTTTTTCTTTTCCATCATTGCCATTGATATGCTGATATTGTTTAGAGTTTGATGGACTGATCAGATGAAGATTAGTTGAATTCTTATTCGTATTTAGTATGTTAACGGAAGCTTTGTTTCATTAGCGAACAGAATTATGTACTCACAAGATGTGAAAATAAGTGTCGTTCTTCTTTTTCTAGTAGTAGCTCCTTTCTCAATAGATATTTATTTCTTGAATTATCATATATGTATAAATTAAAGCTAAATTATTACCTAGAAGAGAGCTTATCTATTACTTTGTGAGAAGTGATGATCGTCATAGTAAAGATTTGTACATTACTATAATTGAGCAGTGGTACACACTTTGTATAAGACAAATTTTAACAGAATCTCTAGTAAAACACATCTTTGACATGTTCTTACATAAAGAATCTATTTCAAGAAATCAAACTGCATTCATGATTACTGCACACTGACCATATCGTATGTCTATCATGTCTATCATGAGTGACCGCCCTCATTATATATTAAATCTCTTATAAGATATTTACATTAAATCAATATAAATATGAATCAGATTAAATATATATAATCTGAAAAAAGTATGTATTCTGTATTACTTTGATTTCTATAGATAATTCAATACATATATGAATGCTATTAAAACTAATGCTATTAAAAACTTACTACTGCAGGAAATATATACATACAGTATATATTTCCTATATAAAAAATTAACCTAAAATATGATTTTGTATTCAAATAGGAATAATATTAATTTGTATTTAACTTTATTTCAAGTTTTTCATATTATACACTATTATAATGATAACATTAGAAACAGTTTTTTAATTAATTTTAAATTTTAGCGATCAACATTCTTTTAAGTGAAACACTGATCGATTTGAATCAAACATAGCGTTTATTTACGATGTAATTTAAAAAACAACATACAATGCTGTTGTCAAGTTACTAAATTAACTGTTACTAAGTCAATCTTAAAAGTGAGTACCCCTACGGTGTACTGTGTTTATAAAAAAGCATTAAAATGACTACCCATTTTAAAATCTCTATCACGTCTTTTTTTCATCTCGTCAAAGCGATTGGACATTTCGTATAGTTCTTTTGGAACTGCTTGGCTAGCTTCTTCCAAAATACGAATGAGATCCTTCGCAATACCCCAATCCGAGCGTGTTATATAACTTATGGCAGTGCCGGTTCGCCCAGCGCGTCCAGTTCTACCAACACGATGAACATACTCCTCAATGTTACGCGGAAAATCAAAATTAATAACATGACTAAGAAAAAAAATTTTTTTACAACTTCGGTTTCAAATACTACTAAGCACTTACGTGATGTCTTCAACATCTAAACCTCTTGAAGCAACGTCTGTTGCTATTAAAATTTGTATGTCACCTGAGGTCAGATCAGCCAGTGCTTGTTCTCGATCGGCCTAAAGAAAATTTGTTTAAGTTTATAAGAATCTTATGCACATAGGCATTACTCTAATAAAGCTAATGTATTAAGTACCTGATCACGAGAACCATGTATACATTGTGTTAACAGGCCTTTCAGAGATAAATCACTAGACAAATCGTCAGCACGAGCTCGTTTAGAACAGAAGATAATAACTTTATCGCTTGATTTAAGGTTTTTTAAAAACGCCAGAACCTGTATCAGGAACAAATACATTTTTCTTTAGATCTTTCTTTATTTAACTTTTCAAATAATATTACCGTATTAAATTTGTTCGCATCATCCACGAGTTCTACCTTTTGACTCACAGAATGAGTAGCAGTTAAATCAAGTGAGCCAACCCATACCTGTATAGGATTGTTCATATAGGTTTCGGCCAATCTACTAACACATGGCGGCCAGGTGGCACTAGTCATGACGGTCTGCCTGTCAGGGCGTATGTCAAGTAGAACTTTTCGAATCTGTGGCTCGAAACCCATATCCAGCATACGGTCCGCTTCGTCTAATATTAAATATGTAACGGATGTAATATCTATAACTTTAGCTTGAACCAAATCATTAAGACGTCCAGGGGTGCAAATTATGCATTCAGCTCCTTCTTTGAAATCTCTGATCTGCTCACGACGACTTCCACCACCATAAATGCATACACTGAACAAGAATTTTAATATTATTTATTTTTCTATTCATTTGTTTTAAACTATTTTTTAACTTACGCTTTTATTCCACGGAACGAGTACTTATTAACTTCTTTTGCTATTTGCTGTGCTAATTCGCGTGTTGGAGCTAAAATTAATATATTTGGACCATTGCGTTCCGTACGTGGTGTAGTCTGTCCATCAGTATGAATCAAGGCAGGAAGCAGAAATGCTAAAGTTTTTCCAGTTCCTGTTTGAGCAATACCTATCATATCCTCGCCTCTCAATAATATAGGCCATGCTTGCTTTTGTATAGGTGATGGTTCCGTAAAGTTTTGTTTCTTCAACTCATCAAGTATATCAGGATAATCTTTGAAAGAGTGTTCGAATTTGTAAATAGGTTTTGGTATATCAAGACACAATTGGTCTTCACTTGTTTTCAAACGTGAAACCATTATATTGTTGTTTACTAAACGCATTTCATTGACTTCTTCCTCTGTCATAATAGCGATTTCCTCGGCTTCTTGATAAAAATTTTTTCTCAGCTTTGGAAGATGCGCCCACTGTAACCTTTTATATTCTTCCTGTAATAAAAAATATTTTATATGAGTAAAACAAATAAATCGATATCTTAATTTGTAGATTTTTAATATTTTTCTTACAACATTTCTATTTAGAGTTTCCCAATCGATGGGCTGCAATACTTCCTTCTTTTCAGTGCCACCAATACATAAATTTTTTGTAGGTAAATTTAATCTATTTCCGCCATTTTCTCCCTTAATAAATTTTGTTATGAGTTATTAAATTATATCCATACGTTCGTTGTAAATACTTTATACTTACAGATTCCGGAGTTGCAACCTGCAGTTCATCATTTCTGGAAGAAGCACTAAAACGATTCAATGAATTGTTTTTAAATTCAACTTTGAGATTGTGAGAAACTTCGTGTTTTTGAGATGAAACATTTTTATTCTTATTTTTCTGATTTTTCTGATTAAAATTATACATGTTTGCACTTAAAACTCCATACACGTTCCTTTCAGGTGGAGTTTCATCCCACATTATTTCTAAATCATCCATTTTAATGTTAGCAGAATTGAAATCACTACCCATTTTAAAATCTCTACCACGCCTTTTTTTCATCTCGTCAAAGCGATTGGACATTTCGTATAGTTGTTTTGGAACTGCTTGGCTAGCTTCTTCCAAAATACGAATGAGATCCTTCGCAATACCCCAATCCGAGCGTGTTATATAACTTATGGCAGTGCCGGTTCGCCCAGCGCGTCCAGTTCTACCAACACGATGAACATACTCCTCAATGTTACGCGGAAAATCAAAATTAATAACATGACTAAGAAAAAAAAATTTTTTACAGCTTCGGTTTTAAATACTACTAAGCACTTACGTGATGTCTTCAACATCTAAACCTCTTGAAGCAACGTCTGTTGCTATTAAAATTTGTATGTCACCTGAGGTCAGATCAGCCAGTGCTTGTTCTCGATCGGCCTAAAGAAAATTTGTTTAAGTTTATAAGAATCTTATGCACATAGGCATTACTCTAATAAAGCTAATGTATTATGTACCTGATCACGAGAACCATGTATACATTGTGTTAACAGGCCTTTCAGAGATAAATCACTAGACAAATCGTCAGCACGAGCTCGTTTAGAACAGAAGATAATAACTTTATCGCTTGATTTAAGGTTTTTTAAAAACGCCAGAACCTGTATCAGGAACAAATACATTTTTCTTTAAAGCTTTCTTTATATAACTTTTCAAATAATATTACCGTATTAAATTTGTTCGCATCATCCACGAGTTCTACCTTTTGACTCACAGAATGAGTAGCAGTTAAATCAAGTGAGCCAACCCATACCTGTATAGGATTGTTCATATAGGTTTCGGCCAATCTACTAACACATGGCGGCCAGGTGGCACTAGTCATGACGGTCTGCCTGTCAGGGCGTATGTCAAGTAGAACTTTTCGAATCTGTGGCTCGAAACCCATATCCAGCATACGGTCCGCTTCGTCTAATATTAAATATGTAACGGATGTAATATCTATAACTTTAGCTTGAACCAAATCATTAAGACGTCCAGGGGTGCAAATTATGCATTCAGCTCCTTCTTTGAAATCTCTGATCTGCTCACGACGACTTCCACCACCATAAATGCATACACTGAACAAGAATTTTAATATTATTTATTTTTCTATTCATTTGTTTTAAACTATTTTTTAACTTACGCTTTTATTCCACGGAACGAGTACTTATTAACTTCTTTTGCTATTTGCTGTGCTAATTCGCGTGTTGGAGCTAAAATTAATATATTTGGACCATTGCGTTCCGTACGTGGTGTAGTCTGTCCATCAGTATGAATCAAGGCAGGAAGCAGAAATGCTAAAGTTTTTCCAGTTCCTGTTTGAGCAATACCTATCATATCCTCGCCTCTCAATAATATAGGCCATGCTTGCTTTTGTATAGGTGATGGTTCCCGAAAGTTTTGTTTCTTCAACTCATCAAGTATATCAGGATAATCTTTGAAAGAGTGTTCGAATTTGTAAATAGGTTTTGGTATATCAAGACACAATTGGTCTTCACTTGTTTTCAAACGTGAAACCATTATATTGTTGTTTACTAAACGCATTTCATTGACTTCTTCCTCTGTCATAATAGCGATTTCCTCGGCTTCTTGATAAAAATTTTTTCTCAGCTTTGGAAGATGCGCCCACTGTAACCTTTTATATTCTTCCTGTAATAAAAAATATTTTATATGAGTAAAACAAATAAATCGATATCTTAATTTGTAGATTTTTAATATTTTTCTTACAACATTTCTATTTAGAGTTTCCCAATCGATGGGCTGCAATACTTCCTTCTTTTCAGTACCACCAATACATAAATTTTTTGTAGGTAGATTTAATCTATTTTCGCCATTTTCTCCCTAAATAAATTTTGTTATGAGTTATTATATTATATCCATACGCTCGTTGTATATACTTTATACTTACAGATTCCGGAGTTGCAACCTGCAGTTCATCATTTCTGAAAGAAGCACTAAAACGATTCAATGAATTGTTTTTAAATTCAACTTTGAGATTGTGAGAAACTTCCTGATTTTGAGATGAAACATTTTTATTTTTATTTTTCTGACCAGAGCGTTTTTTGATGTCCTGGATATATTTCACTGCATCATCAACATTTTTTCTATTACGACCTTTGACAGTAACTGTATTAGTGTCACTATTTATATGTACATTGACGTTGAACTTTGTTTTAATGCTTTTTATTTTAGAGCCGTCTCGCCCAATTATGGCACCAATGTTAGCATGGTCAGTAGGAAATTTCTCTATAATATCATTAGAATTATACATGTTTGCATTTAACACTCCATACACGTTCTTTTCAGGTGGAGTTTCATCCCACATTATTTCCAAATCATCCATTTTAATGTTAGCAGAATTGAAATCACTACCCATTTTAAAATCCCTACCACGTCTTTTTTTCATCTCGTCAAAGCGATTGGACATTTCGTATAGTTGTTTTGGAACTGCTTGGCTAGCTTCTTCCAAAATACGAATGAGATCCTTCGCAATACCCCAATCCGAGCGTGTTATATAACTTATAGCAGTGCCGGTTCGCCCAGCGCGTCCAGTTCTACCAACACGATGAACATACTCCTCAATGTTACGCGGAAAATCAAAATTAATAACATGACTAAGAAAAAAAATTTTTTTACAACTTCGGTTTCAAATACTACTAAGCACTTACGTGATGTCTTCAACATCTAAACCTCTTGAAGCAACGTCTGTTGCTATTAAAATTTGTATGTCACCTGAGGTCAGATCAGCCAGTGCTTGTTCTCGATCGGCCTAAAGAAAATTTGTTTAAGTTTATAAGAATCTTATGCACATAGGCATTACTCTAATAAAGCTAATGTATTAAGTACCTGATCACGAGAACCATGTATACATTGTGTTAACAGGCCTTTCAGAGATAAATCACTAGACAAATCGTCAGCACGAGCTCGTTTAGAACAGAAGATAATAACTTTATCGCTTGATTTAAGGTTTTTTAAAAACGCCAGAACCTGTATCAGGAACAAATACATTTTTCTTTAGATCTTTCTTTATTTAACTTTTCAAATAATATTACCGTATTAAATTTGTTCGCATCATCCACGAGTTCTACCTTTTGACTCACAGAATGAGTAGCAGTTAAATCAAGTGAGCCAACCCATACCTGTATAGGATTGTTCATATAGGTTTCGGCCAATCTACTAACACATGGCGGCCAGGTGGCACTAGTCATGACGGTCTGCCTGTCAGGGCGTATGTCAAGTAGAACTTTTCGAATCTGTGGCTCGAAACCCATATCCAGCATACGGTCCGCTTCGTCTAATATTAAATATGTAACGGATGTAATATCTATAACTTTAGCTTGAACCAAATCATTAAGACGTCCAGGGGTGCAAATTATGCATTCAGCTCCTTCTTTGAAATCTCTGATCTGCTCACGACGACTTCCACCACCATAAATGCATACACTGAACAAGAATTTTAATATTATTTATTTTTCTATTCATTTGTTTTAAACTATTTTTTAACTTACGCTTTTATTCCACGGAACGAGTACTTATTAACTTCTTTTGCTATTTGCTGTGCTAATTCGCGTGTTGGAGCTAAAATTAATATATTTGGACCATTGCGTTCCGTACGTGGTGTAGTCTGTCCATCAGTATGAATCAAGGCAGGAAGCAGAAATGCTAAAGTTTTTCCAGTTCCTGTTTGAGCAATACCTATCATATCCTCGCCTCTCAATAATATAGGCCATGCTTGCTTTTGTATAGGTGATGGTTCCGTAAAGTTTTGTTTCTTCAACTCATCAAGTATATCAGGATAATCTTTGAAAGAGTGTTCGAATTTGTAAATAGGTTTTGGTATATCAAGACACAATTGGTCTTCACTTGTTTTCAAACGTGAAACCATTATATTGTTGTTTACTAAACGCATTTCATTGACTTCTTCCTCTGTCATAATAGCGATTTCCTCGGCTTCTTGATAAAAATTTTTTCTCAGCTTTGGAAGATGCGCCCACTGTAACCTTTTATATTCTTCCTGTAATAAAAAATATTTTATATGAGTAAAACAAATAAATCGATATCTTAATTTGTAGATTTTTAATATTTTTCTTACAACATTTCTATTTAGAGTTTCCCAATCGATGGGCTGCAATACTTCCTTCTTTTCAGTGCCACCAATACATAAATTTTTTGTAGGTAAATTTAATCTATTTCCGCCATTTTCTCCCTTAATAAATTTTGTTATGAGTTATTAAATTATATCCATACGTTCGTTGTAAATACTTTATACTTACAGATTCCGGAGTTGCAACCTGCAGTTCATCATTTCTGGAAGAAGCACTAAAACGATTCAATGAATTGTTTTTAAATTCAACTTTGAGATTGTGAGAAACTTCGTGTTTTTGAGATGAAACATTTTTATTCTTATTTTTCTGATTTTTCTGATTAAAATTATACATGTTTGCACTTAAAACTCCATACACGTTCCTTTCAGGTGGAGTTTCATCCCACATTATTTCTAAATCATCCATTTTAATGTTAGCAGAATTGAAATCACTACCCATTTTAAAATCTCTACCACGCCTTTTTTTCATCTCGTCAAAGCGATTGGACATTTCGTATAGTTGTTTTGGAACTGCTTGGCTAGCTTCTTCCAAAATACGAATGAGATCCTTCGCAATACCCCAATCCGAGCGTGTTATATAACTTATGGCAGTGCCGGTTCGCCCAGCGCGTCCAGTTCTACCAACACGATGAACATACTCCTCAATGTTACGCGGAAAATCAAAATTAATAACATGACTAAGAAAAAAAAATTTTTTACAGCTTCGGTTTTAAATACTACTAAGCACTTACGTGATGTCTTCAACATCTAAACCTCTTGAAGCAACGTCTGTTGCTATTAAAATTTGTATGTCACCTGAGGTCAGATCAGCCAGTGCTTGTTCTCGATCGGCCTAAAGAAAATTTGTTTAAGTTTATAAGAATCTTATGCACATAGGCATTACTCTAATAAAGCTAATGTATTATGTACCTGATCACGAGAACCATGTATACATTGTGTTAACAGGCCTTTCAGAGATAAATCACTAGACAAATCGTCAGCACGAGCTCGTTTAGAACAGAAGATAATAACTTTATCGCTTGATTTAAGGTTTTTTAAAAACGCCAGAACCTGTATCAGGAACAAATACATTTTTCTTTAAAGCTTTCTTTATATAACTTTTCAAATAATATTACCGTATTAAATTTGTTCGCATCATCCACGAGTTCTACCTTTTGACTCACAGAATGAGTAGCAGTTAAATCAAGTGAGCCAACCCATACCTGTATAGGATTGTTCATATAGGTTTCGGCCAATCTACTAACACATGGCGGCCAGGTGGCACTAGTCATGACGGTCTGCCTGTCAGGGCGTATGTCAAGTAGAACTTTTCGAATCTGTGGCTCGAAACCCATATCCAGCATACGGTCCGCTTCGTCTAATATTAAATATGTAACGGATGTAATATCTATAACTTTAGCTTGAACCAAATCATTAAGACGTCCAGGGGTGCAAATTATGCATTCAGCTCCTTCTTTGAAATCTCTGATCTGCTCACGACGACTTCCACCACCATAAATGCATACACTGAACAAGAATTTTAATATTATTTATTTTTCTATTCATTTGTTTTAAACTATTTTTTAACTTACGCTTTTATTCCACGGAACGAGTACTTATTAACTTCTTTTGCTATTTGCTGTGCTAATTCGCGTGTTGGAGCTAAAATTAATATATTTGGACCATTGCGTTCCGTACGTGGTGTAGTCTGTCCATCAGTATGAATCAAGGCAGGAAGCAGAAATGCTAAAGTTTTTCCAGTTCCTGTTTGAGCAATACCTATCATATCCTCGCCTCTCAATAATATAGGCCATGCTTGCTTTTGTATAGGTGATGGTTCCGTAAAGTTTTGTTTCTTCAACTCATCAAGTATATCAGGATAATCTTTGAAAGAGTGTTCGAATTTGTAAATAGGTTTTGGTATATCAAGACACAATTGGTCTTCACTTGTTTTCAAACGTGAAACCATTATATTGTTGTTTACTAAACGCATTTCATTGACTTCTTCCTCTGTCATAATAGCGATTTCCTCGGCTTCTTGATAAAAATTTTTTCTCAGCTTTGGAAGATGCGCCCACTGTAACCTTTTATATTCTTCCTGTAATAAAAAATATTTTATATGAGTAAAACAAATAAATCGATATCTTAATTTGTAGATTTTTAATATTTTTCTTACAACATTTCTATTTAGAGTTTCCCAATCGATGGGCTGCAATACTTCCTTCTTTTCAGTGCCACCAATACATAAATTTTTTGTAGGTAAATTTAATCTATTTCCGCCATTTTCTCCCTTAATAAATTTTGTTATGAGTTATTAAATTATATCCATACGTTCGTTGTAAATACTTTATACTTACAGATTCCGGAGTTGCAACCTGCAGTTCATCATTTCTGGAAGAAGCACTAAAACGATTCAATGAATTGTTTTTAAATTCAACTTTGAGATTGTGAGAAACTTCGTGTTTTTGAGATGAAACATTTTTATTCTTATTTTTCTGATTTTTCTGATTAAAATTATATATGTTTGCACTTAAAACTCCATACACGTTCCTTTCAGGTGGACTTTCATCCCACATTATTTCCAATTCATCCATTTTAATGTTAGCAAAACCTACAAAAAAGAATACCTCATTATTCTACAATAATGATTTTATACAAAACGAACCAAATTTAAAACATTCAAATTGAGCGAATTTTCACGAACTTCTCAATCATGTCAAATGAAACGGTATTTGAAATCAATTATTAAAAGCAAAAATATTTGTTCTTATAAGGATTATTGAGAGATAAAGCAATGCCAGTTATTTGTTTTTGATTTGTATGTTGAAAATCATACTGCCACTTTCTTAAGTCTCATCACGCAGTGGTTCTATTGTTTCTTGTGACATTTACTGAAATTCATTCTAATATGAATATTTGAAATGCAGATTTTATTTTTTGCAAATAGGGTCACATAACCTTAAAAACACCATTGCTCAAACAAACAAGTATTTTTAGAAAGTTGCAAAATTAATTGAAAACATTTAATTCAAAAAAGGTGCACGTATATTCCGAATTTTGTGAAGCAAAATACATACCAGTGATAAAACTAAAACCAAAACTCAATCGAAAAAACACAAGCCAAAAAACGATTCGACCACCGACGCGTCTCTTGAAAAAGTAATAAATGTAAAAGAAACTTGTTCCGTTCCCGTTCTTTCAAAATTAATATAAGTACCATATATTTGGCAGCCCATACACAGATTTGCTTGAGATTGATGTAACTATATTAATTTGGCTTATGCTTTATGTGCACAAACCAATTTCACAAGGAAATATTCATTTGAAATGATCACACAATCCGATTGGCACATTATTTAATAATGTAATAAATCCACATACAATTTTAAAATACTGCATGTGTTCAATAATAAAAAAATTATCAATATTCTGACCTGCTCGAATGTGAATCACATCCTGATTAGAGCGTCTTTTTATAAAATTATACACCTATACATCGGTTAGAAGCCACTTCGTGCAACAGTAGACTTGATTAATGACCCAGCCGTATTTCTGACAGTGTTTCGCTTAACGGTGAAGAAACCGATAAATTTGCACATATAAGTCGTAGAAGGAAATAAAAATGTCATCTGTTAAGAAATTTTGGAATATCGTTGAAACCCTGTGTCTGTAGTTGAGACCAATATAAAAAAAAATTAAACGGAAGAGAGCGGCTTACAAACGATGAACTATTGAGGTTAGATAAAGTAGAAGGTGCAGAATAGATCAAGCTGGTCACATAGTTAAAGTAGAAACCTTTGCAAAAGAAGAGGCAACCACATCGGATGATGATTTTAAGCTCACATCGTAAATGCTGAAGGAGTGCTTCGAAAAAAAGTTGTGGCAGTACTAAATTGGTGACTCAGAAATGATCAGTTCTTTTCAGAACTGTTAAACTAGTAAAGAGGTATTCATCTACATACAAAAGTTCTTCTCAGAACTCTACAAGCAAAGCTCCGGCTTAGTGTAAGTGCGAAACCAGGTAATAAAATGTCGTTACAAAACGAAAGTACAGCATCATCCTGACAAGAGTCGGAAGACTCAGCAGCAATTGTGAATCACATCTCGGTGAAGGTGCCTGTGTTCTGGCATGAGCGACTCGAAATATGGTTTCTTAAGATTGATGCACAGTTCGCGGTGGCAAGTGTCTGCAACGATGTGACGAAAATCAACACCATAGTAGCTGCAATAGAGTCTGGCATTGTGGGTGACGTAGCGGACGCTGTAGGACATCCACCAGTAACAAACCGGTATGAAAATCTTAAAAAGTAGATAATCGAGCGGTATAGTGAATCTGAGCAGTGAAAAATTCAGCGTCTATTATTAGACGTCACTCAACTATTAAATAAATTAACAACGTTGGCAAAGGATAAACTGAGCGACGAAATTTTGAAAACACTCTGGCTCCAGCGTTTGCCTCCACAAGTGCGCTCAATTTTTCAGAAATCAAGCGTTGATCTGATCGAGTTAGCCAAATTGGCTGACAAGATTTACGAAGCAGGCAATTAGCGGCGGTAACTGGTCAGAAGCATAAAAGGTGCGTCAATGGTTAGATCAAATCAAGTAACGGTTGAGTTGTTAAGACATGAACTCCCGTCAACAGCAAATGTAGGCGTTTGTCGAGAGACCGCAGCCGACTACGTTTCCAATCGAGCACTCTTCCAGATTGGTGCTGGTCCATTCCAGGTTTGGACGTAAGCGACGCAGTTGTAGATAGCCTTGCAGTTTTACGGCATCATCGCAGACAAAAAAACTAAGCGTTCTTTCGTCGTCGTCGAGCCACAACGAAGGCAGCATACAATAAACTTGACTCAGCATTAAGGATCCAGTTACGACCACCATATTTCTAATAGATACGGGTGCCGACATCTCAATGACTCCACGGTAATTTTTGCATCATTCGTGCAAAACGGGCAGTGCTTCGACGATAAATTTATTTGAAGCCAACGGTACTCACATTCGCACGTTTGGGGAGAAACGTCTTCAGTTATATCTTGGGCTGCGCAAAGATTTCCCATGGACTTTCGTGGTTGCAGATCTCAGTTGCCCTATCGTTGGTACCGATTTCCTAAGGCACTATGACCTATTGGTGGATATGCAATGAAAGCGACTGGTTGACAACAAAACAATTGTTATGGTCAAAGGTGACACTGCCAAGTTGTAAACGATCGAGATGCGCGTATGCAGCGTAGGTACGAAGTACGCCGAGCTGTTACACAAGTGCCATGACCTGGCAACGATGAACGCGAATCGACGAAGAACCGTTACATCACTGGAGCACTGCATCAAAACAACAGGCCCACCATTATTCGCCTGTCTGAGATGCCTAACTGGTAGTAAACTTGAAGCAAAGAAAGAGTTTAAGTATTTACTGCAAGCGGGTATCTGTCAGCCATCCAAATGCTGTTGGGCTAGTCAATTCCATATGGTGCGTAAAGGGGATGGAAGTTGGCGACCTTGTGGGGATTATCGAATGCTCAACGCAGAGACGAGCGCGACCGTTACCCAATTCCATTTATACATGATATAACGTCTATTTCACATGCAAAAACTATGTTTTCGAAGATAGACCTGTCGAAAGCGTACCATCAGATCCCAGTGGCGGCCACCGACACACTAAAAATAATACAACTCTATTTGGTTTGTTTGAGTTCAAATTTATGACGTTCGGAATCCGTACATCACCGCAACCCAGAAAAAAGTACAGGTCATTTGTGAGTTCCCTTTACCTACAACCGTTAGGCAGTTGCGTCAGTTTTCAAGAATGATAAACTTCTACCGTCTATTCTTGCAAGGTGCCGTTCATAGCCAACAACGTTTTTTTTTCGTTAATGCCTGGGAACCGCAAAAACGACAAAACAGCAATCGCCTGGTCCCTTGATGACGTGGCGGCATTCCAGCAGTGTAAAGATAAACTGGAGCCGGCCCAACTTACGGTTTTTACTGATGCCTCAGGAGATGCAGATGGTGCCATCCTTCAGCAAATAGTAGATGGAGTACATCAGTCATTAGCATTCTACTCGAAAATATTGAGTTCAGCTCAAATCAAATACAGCACTTATGATCGAGAGTTGACAGCGATTTATCAAGCCTTCCAATATTTCTGATATACGTTAGAAGATCGTGAGTTCAATTTATTCACTGGCCACAAGCCACTCGCATATGCATTCCAGCAAGCAATTGAAAAGGCATCTTAGGTATGTACTAAGACAAATCAACTTGAATTTGTGAGCCAATATTTTACCTATATCCGTCACGTAGCTGGAGCTGATAACGTGGTAGCAGACTCCCTTTCTCAAATTGCAGCAGTCCAGTGTGAAGCAAGCGATGTAGAATGAATTTCGGTTGACCAAGTAACAGGCCCGGAACTGCACGAGTTATTAAACGACCAGTCTGGAAAAGCATTTTTGTTGAAGAAGTGGAAGCTACCAAATTCAGACGTTGAATTGTACTGCGATGTTTCTGACACTCACATCCGCCCATATGTTCCATTAAATTGCAGACAACAATTGTCCAAGTATTGTTCAAGCTTCATTCTTTGTCCTATCCCGGGATCAATACAACCTGCAAAATTGTCCAAGCAAAATACGTGTGGCCCGGTATAGCTAAAGATACAGCAATTTTCGTCCGAAGGTGTGTTGCATACCTAAAATTGAAGGTCCAACGCCATACCTGCACGCCTATCGGTTCTTTTGCAGCGGTAGGTGACCGATTTCAACACATGGACATATTGGACCCATTGCCCCCGTCACAAGGAAAGCGTTATATTCTCTCATGTATCGATCGTTTTTCGCGTTAGCTAGTGACCATTACAGCAGAAGAAGTGGCAGCAGTATTTACTGATCAGTCATCAGGTTGCACATTATGGCGCTCCGCAAGCAGTCACAACTGACCTAGGACGTCAATTTGAATCCACTGTATTCACAGAGGTAACGAAACTACTAGTGATAAAGTATCAAGCTAATGGCATGGTCG